TTAGTCTTTGTGTCCATGCAAGAAGAGTGTCATTCAAAACAAACCTGACAACATGGACCGATGATATCAAGACGCCAGAGGGTCTCTGGTATAAGAAAATCAAATCTCTTGGTATGAGATATTTCTTTCATAACCATAACATAAATGTGCCTTCTTAGTAAAAAAGAACCAAGTCAATGTCTGTCACAGAGATAAAACAAGAGATGTCAGGCTTTATCTGTTGAGAGAAGACAGCCATTATTTGTGTGCTTGGCTTTGGCTTCATGTAAACAAACCGTCAGATCAATCTAAGTTGATTAACATCTTCAGTCGGTCCTGACCCTCGCTCTCCCCATCTGACCATGAAGAAACATTCAACCCCTCTTCCTTTTTCTGTTACCATCATCCTGTAACATTTGTCCAATCTTTCTGAACATCACCTTCATCCATTTTTAAACATGAAAAATATAGGAAGCCATTTTGGAGGATATCTGTACTCAGGGGGTTTGATATGAAGCTCTGAAAATAGCAATTTGCACTGGGTAGTTTTATTCTCTTTGCTGTACATTAAAGCACGAGTGGAAATATGATTATCTACCAAAAATGTGAAAATCTGATGAGCCCAAAAATGTGAAGATTTAGTATTTTATAAGACCTAAAGAGTAAATGTTAACCCATAGTTGGGCATTTCTCTCTCTTTCTTTGTTACGCACAAAAATAAAAACTGTTATACCGCCGTACAACTTCCCAGAGGTATGTCTGAACTTTTGACAGAAATCCTAAAAGCAGATGTAGATAACTTCTGAAGAAAGCGCAGTCCGGATATCTTAATGTTTATTATCTTATCATATTATAATTATCATGTGTTTAGCAGCTTAAATGTGCTGTGCTGCTTTACATTCATCCTGTAGCTACAGTGAGCATTTCTCTCTAAAGACGGGGATTTCAGCCCTTTTTGTAATGCCAATCAAATCCGCCACGCTCCCACTTATCTTATGTTAGAGTGGCACAGTATCATTGTGGCACAGAAATAGCCGATTCCCAGCCCCGAGGCCGCTGTCCCACTTTGGCTGCGAGGTCATTCAGCGGTCAGCGATGACTGAATGAGCGAGGATGAATACCCAAACAGAAAATCCTCAGTTTACAAATCTCCCTTATTCCTATCGTCTACTGTACACACACACACACACACACACACACACACACACACACACACACACACACACACACACACACACACACACACACACACACACGACATAGCTACTGTATTTTGCAATAAAGTTAAAAGAATTTATATCCTTTTCTATATCCAGTCAGCACATCTCCCATTCACTAAACCGTCACATGTCAGCACGGGGAACACCAGCCTAAGATAAAATATGGGGATAGTAAACTATATTCTTTTAATAGGTCGTTTATAAATGATAACTCACAAGTTTAAAAAAAAAAAAAAACAGAAACAAGTTACAACAATGTCATGATAAATTGTGCCCACGTTTATAAAAACCTAAAACCTTCAAAAGACCTTCAAGAGCGAAACAATCAGAAAGAAATCCAGCAAAGACAACATTTCAGGGGTTTAGAGAAAAACGGCAAGAACGGCAGGCGTTGGTTCTCATCCAACTCCCAGTTTCTCCACGGTGCGAGGCATTCATCATCATTATCATGGCTATTCAGAGGACCTAATTCCCTTTAAAATCATGTGTCAATTCTCATTTGGCTGCCCTCAACATCTTACAGGCTTTGAATTCTCCCATGAACTGGATCTGGGGCGAGTTATCGGGAAAACAAGAGCCAAACAGAGGCATTGTCTCCGTTATTTCAAACCTTTTAGGTTGCCATGTGTTTTAGAAACCCAACAAGCATTTCCAAGGACTAAAAGAGACTTAATTGTGGATCCATGACGAATCAAAGTGAACACCATCTAACCCTGAAGTGCCTCTGTCTGTTCACTGCAACCCACACACTGTGATAGTTGAAGAAGCTAACCTGGCCTCCGCACAACTCAGCACCCGGTTTGAGACGGCTTGGCAGTGAGAAAACAATTCTTACAAAAAACTCTCATGTTTTAATTTTACACATTATAATTCAAACTGCTGTCTCCTGAAAGAATCTAGTAAATGTCTCTTTGCATAGATGTTAAAACACAACGAGGCAGAGTGACTAAAGCTAGAGGAAGTGAGTGAATATTCCAGCAGTGTCTCGGCTGCAGCGATGAGTGTTTGTAGCTTTCCTAAATGCGAGCGCAGCTGGGATGTGGTGTGATGCTGTGTGCTCCCACAGTCGGGCAGGGCATGTACAGAGGTTACGTAACCCTGGATTTTCTACTCCTCCCGCCCTCCATCTCTCCCTCGCTTAGTCAGGCCATGCAGAGTGCAGAAGTGGAGCAGGCACAGATGGTCAGCACGGCTCCTCACATCGACATCATCGCTGTGCAGGGTGGGGCGGGTGTTGAAGGGTAAAAGTGATAGAGGCAGCGAGAGCCAATAGCAACATGATGCTGGAGACAAATATAGATGGATGGACAGATATACTGTTACACACACCGACAGCTCAGCCAAGAAGGCACACGGTGTAATGTTTTGGGCCAGTTTGGCCGGTCATTACTCGATAGATTGAGCTTCCAGAAGGATCAGCCGATGTAAAGGATGGGATTAAGTTAACGAGGTGATGCATCTGCTCCATGATTGAGTTTAAATGCCTAACTCGACGTTTCAAAGAGGATAACAGCCACAACAGTCAGATGCTGTGGCTGGTAAATCTATGGATAATCTAAAGGGCAGAAAACAATAAAACATGGACTAAACACCAGAATCAGAGCGTTAATCCATCAACTGAACCAAACTCAAAGAGAGAACAGTTTTGTTTCCTTACTATCAGACTACGTCTACTAGCTGCCCAAAGCCTGTTATGTAAAATGGCTCTGGTTTTACAACAAATGAAGTGAAGAGTCCCTACATGTTGTGGTAAATCGCTTCATCTGTCAACATGCCAAATGTGCTGCCAGAAACCATTTTAGGACAACACGCCCAGTTAAATGGTTTAATACTGCACTGTCCTCATGGCCCCCAGGGACAAGTATAAAAAACTTAATTTTCTGCTTCATGTTTTGGTGATTCACTCTCATTACCTTCAGCTACAGAAACCAAATTAAAGTCGGCTACACTTTGATATTTCTAACCTTCAGCACATACAGCCTTGGTGAGAGCTATCCAGGCTACTGATGTCGATTATTAACCTCCATACCTGATCGTGCACACATGTAGATAGAGGTATATGTCTGCAAATGTGTGTATATTTCACCTCTGTTCAGCCACTACATAGTGAGTCACAACAGACAAAGAAGAGCGTGAAAGAACCAAAGGAAAACACTGAGAAAAGATGGGAGACATACTAAGAGAGGGGAAAACAAGAAAAAAGGTCACCAAAAAATACTATAAAACTTTGTTATTGTAAGAAGATCAATTCTTTTGAAAATTAAAGATGAGGACATGTGGTCAGACGTGTATCTGACAAACCCTGTGTGCTAATATCCACTTTGTAAGACAACATATTAAAAGCTTTGTGTAAGAGAAAGGACCAAGAAACATGTTCAGCTTCAATATCAAATCACTGCTCTCAAAATGATTATTGACGTTTAAAATAATAATTTATCAATTGGATAATTTACCTTAATATATAAATTAGGTTTTTGCTTGTTGTTTGACTAAAGTGTTGTGGAAGAGAAAGGAAAACATCATTTAGCTTCAGTAATTAGTTAGTGTGATTATTCCTGAACTATGTGTTCTTTTATTTGTCATTTCTTTGCAGCTGTAAATACTGAAAAAGTCTCTGTTTGTGGGATCAGTAAAGGGTTATCCTGTCTTACACGTGTATATAAAATGAATAATCCATAGACATCTGAACGTTAATCAGATCAACATCTATTAGGTGGAATAATTCAACTTTAAAAATCTATTTATGATTAATTATAGAGGATACAAAACACCTGTGATGTGAGTAATTCAAATGTTGCTTTTGTTCAATCAACAGACCAAACGCAGAATATATTCTATTTAAATCAATCAAATAGAAAAAAAGAAAAATATGTGCACTTATATCAGGAGAGCTTTTTGAATTTTCACACTAAAATCGACTAGAATTAAAATGATAGTCAGTTTTCTTTAATATAATACTGATGATATTATTGGCAAACAGTTTCAGCTCTAGAAATAATGTGAGCAATATGTGCTGAAATGGTCTGACTAACAAAAAACTGGAAGGATGGAGGGAACAAAAGATGACATGAATGAAACGTAAAGTAACATATTATTTCCATATAAAACTTGTTATCTTTAAGAGGTTCATTCTGAGGGCTTTGCTGTTGGGCTAATACTCCTGAAGGACAGACGACTTGTTAGAATCATTTATGTTTCTTTAAATTCAAAGACTCGTGAAGCGTTCACAAAAGAGAAAGGATTTAATTACCCCGCTGTCTTTTACTAAATACAACTTAAATTTAAAATGTATCCATAAAAATGTGTCAGACTTCACTTTTATAAATCACAGTGATCAGGTAGAAGCTCGTCTAATTCAGGTAATTACCAGTTAATGTACAAAATCTGAAGTTTTAGATATAAGAATGTCAAATCAGTGAAGTGCATTTTTTTCATTATTTTGAACATGACTCATAAAGCCTGCAAAGGTTATTTTAATTTACCCCCAAAGATAAACATAAAACATTATGGTAAAGCTGATTTTTCAAAGATCACTTCGCCCACATGGTTCTTTTGGTTCACAAAGCTGCTCTCAGCGCTTCGGTATGAATGAACTGTTACGCTCTACCTTAGTAACAAAACGTTTCTTCCACCTTAACCTTTTGCTGCGAAATAAATATGAATGTTAATTTTCAGCCTATAAATTGAGATAAACTGAGATGCTCATTAGTTCTCCCTGATAATCTCAGTTTTGGTAACAACAATGGACATTTAAAAAATAAAATATTTGCACATCCTTCATATGACGGCAGTGTACTGTACCTCCATGGCCAGGGCGGCAGTTTGCTGGTCGTAGTGGTTCAGTATGTTGGGCATGAAGGTGGAGTTGTAGGGTAGCCCCCGGCACATTCGCAGGGTGATGGGCTCACAGGTGAACAGACTGTGGCTCCCTGCATCCGCGTCCATTGGAATTGCGACGCATGCCGTCAACATGGACACCGACAGTGCCCAGAGGAGCTCCATGACTGGTCCGTACAGCAGCAGAGAAAAAGATCCCGGGGATGGCTGGTTAGGAGAAGGGGTTGAGCCCTGTTAGCACCCAGCTCTTTCACCGGGGAAGGAAAATCACAAGGTTTAAGGAGCGTCCAGGACTGTGTGGTAGTCTCTTCCTCCTCTTCAGCTCACTGACAAATAGTCTGGGCCGGGCAGCGTAATCCAGCACAGCCATGGTTAAAGCCTGCTGCATCCATCACCTTTGGGAAACCTGTCATTCGCAGCACTATGTCACAAAGCCTCCATCACCTGAGAGATGCTGTGGCCCTTTAAGATGCTCTAATGTGACCAACAGCTCACACCCTTCCCTTGTCTCCGCCGAACGTGGGGATGAGTACGCTGACGGAGATGATGATTTTCAGAATGGGATCTGAAATAATAAAAGCACAACATTTTAGTATGCATTTGGTATCTAGTGACAATCAGCAGTGTACTCATTTGTAGCACGATTTTTTTTTTTAAATACAGAAAGAAACCCAAAGCAGGCTTTTTTTTTTTTTAAATAAATGTTTTTATAAAAAGCACAACTAGGCTGGTTTCTGAGGGTTGTGTTCAGGTCACTTATCATGGTGAGTGGGTTGTGAAGATAAATAATAACATGTATTCATTAACAACCAGTAAGCTTTATCATGACAGGGAGTAACAGCAAAACATACAATACTGTATTTAGACACATTATTGTATCTGTGGTAGTTTAGTGAAGGAACAAGCAAAATACTATTTATTCTGATGTTATTGTAATATCAGTGTTATAACCTTATTTTTATATATATTTCAGAGGCACTTTAAGCTATTATGGTAGCATACCTTTTTTATAATTCAGCGTGTTTAAAGCTGCAAACTGCAGCCTTAGCAGCAGTGTTAGGCTACACTCATTACAACATTTAAATGAATCGAAAACAAAGCATACAGATACTTTTTGGTACACCTGTGTTCACCAAAACGTCAAACAAGCACAGCTGCATTAATGGTTGATAATTATGAATGCGAAAAAGGTGCGTCATTTCTTGCCTACCTGTGCGTCAGTAATAACGGCGTCATACATTTATCCCCATGAATACGAGTGTGGTTCACTAACATTACCGAGGGGAAATGGTTGAATAAAACAGAAGTGTCAAGCAACGCAGCGGAGACAAAAGATGAGGGTTAGTTAAATGATGGTAACCGGAGCACCCACCCTGCGTACCGGTGTTACAATCTCCTTCAAAGAGCCGGGCTGCAGCTGCTGAGGTGTTTGTTCACGACACTCACTCCCGTCGTACATTGAAGCTACATTGTGTAAATGAAAGACTTAACTTTACCTGAATGTTTGTGCCGACTCTCCGCGGCTCCTCGAGTAGTAACAATGAGTGTGAACGTCCCTTTACCAGCACCCTCCTCCTCCTCCTGTCCTCCTCCTCCTCCTCTGTCCTCCACCCCGCGGTTGTCCCCTCCTCTCTGCCCACCATCAAGCCCACGACTCTAAACACAACAGCTTCCGGTCAGAGCCCGAACAATAAAAGACACACCCAACCTGACACTATATGCAAAGCAAGTAGCCATAAAGTAGGCGAATGTAGCCTTTGTAAGGACTAAATTGAGTTTTTATATATTTTCTTTATTATAAATTTGTAGTTATTTTTATTTATGCTCATTCGTTTGATCTACTCGAGTTATAACTTTACCTCATAACTCTACTTAGTTAATTTCCACAGTGTGTTCCCCACTTATATTATTACTTATATTATTATTAAAATAACATCTCATGAGCCTAGGCATATGAAGAGTATATCCTATGAATTTAACTACCACACAATGTAATAAAAACATAAAATAGAATATAACTTTCAGATGCATTTCTCTTTAAAACATGTAGGCCTACTTTAACAACTTCAAATAGGCTTATGTATGGCAATAACTTTTTTTTTTTATATTTACGTGTTTTTCGTATTCTGCTTTGTGAAAATACATTTTAATCATTTTTGCCGTTGCGTCCGGATTAATTGTATTACTTTGAAGGTGCACTGGCTCGTTTCCGGTCTTGCGCAGTGTGTTTCTGTTTAACTTGATGATGCAGCCCTCCCTCTTTCTTCACAGCAGGTTTTCTGTCTTCTTTGAGCGCGACCGCCCATCCGAGGTCGAGCTGGCCCTCTTCATTTGAAATTTCAGAGAGTTTTAAAGCTGTGCCGGCTTTTAATCATCTTGAATGTTTCATGAGTAGGTCAATAGCAGGTTTAAGTGAATAAACAGTGCATAAAAAGAGCAAATAGAAACAAGGCTTACATCATAAATTGCGAATTGACACTAACACGTATATCTAAATTAACAATGAAAAGTCCAAAAGTTTCAAACATCTCAAATGTTAAACTCGTGAAGCATCAAATGTGTGACACTATATTTCTGCAGTATCAGTGTATCGGACAGATGGTCTTTGCAGCAGTTGCATCGTCAGGCCCACTGCACCGCATTTGTCATCATTAGAGCCAGTGACGCCTGCACACTGCACACACTCCACTGTGCTCAGCTTTGCAGCACCCCCCTCTGTGTGTGACAGGCTGTGACAGCCAGTCCATGTATGGAGAGTATACTCAGTAGGGTTTCTATGGAAACAAGTAAACTGTGCAGGGGAAATGGGAAGAAGTAGAGAGGAGAGTGAGGAGACCGTCCAGAGTATGCACACATAGAGTTTGTTTATTAGTTGGATTTATTTCCTTCTGCCTGCAGATGAAAACTGATGGTGAGTTAAACACCAGAGGAGTCTGTTGTAAGCAGCAGTTCAGCGCTGATATAAACTGGAGGGCTAGTTTGAGGTCAGTTTGACTGGAAACTTTATTGTTTGTTCATTTTAACATTTGCTTTTACAGTACGAGATGCATGTTTGTTTATTCTCACTTAAAGAAAGGTATAGGTGCAAGACATTCAGCAATACTGTGTAAATGAGTGTTATTGTAGTATAGCAGTGGTTCCCAAAGTGGGGGAGACACTGTTAGGGGGGTCGCTAGATTCCTTTAAAATTGCATATTTCACCCATTAATTTGAAAATAAAGAAAAAGTAGTTTCTTATGATAAATTACAAAAATAATATGATGGTGTTTGGGCTATGCGGTGTTGTAATGTCTGTTTGGAGAGGTGTTAGTGTTTGAACCACCTCCAGGGACAATGGGGGTCCCCAGTCTCTATCACCGTTATATGGAGGGTCGTGGGCTGAGAAGTTTGGGAACCCTTGTAGTATAGTATGTTTACTCCATGCAAGGGCGGCAGTAGTTCAGTCTAGGAGGGTCGCCGGTTCAAGTCCCTGTGCTGATCAAATCTGGAAATTGGTCTGGTAGCTTGAGGATTGCCAGTTCACTTACTGAGCACTGCCAATGCATCCCTCTCACTCAGACATCTCTCCATTAGTGCATGACCAAAGGATCCTGTTTGTGCATGTGTGTGTATTTCAGCTTGTGTGTGTAGCATGTTCAACAACAGAGTGTGAAGTTAGAAGGCTGAGCCTGAAAATGTTCATACAGATCCTGTTATGTGGCTCACAGCTGCTCTGATGTAAAGAGTCATTGAAAACCAACCAATGTGCCATGTTGTGTATTATCATTCATCAGCTTTACAGAGGGATCACCCAAAGATGCCACGTGCACTGAGTCCTTCTGCACACTGTGCTAAGATGCAGACTGCACTGAGCACATGGACTCCTATGAACCACCCGCTGTCCAACAGTAAGGTGAGATCAACTCATCTACTCTGATGAACAGTTTCATCAGCAAAAAGAAAGCTGTTCATACAAACATAAAGTTAAAGTTTGTATTCCTGCAATGGAAGTACAAGATATCAGAAACTTTATTCAAGAAAAAGTTTGAATACCAAACAGTGAAAACATGTCATTAGAAGTACAGATGGAAAATTGCATAAAGCAAGATAAAAACTAACAGTTTTTAACAGGCCCCTGTGACTTAAGTGTAAACATCAGAAAGTAATGATGAATGTAAACCTGAGGGGTGTTTGGATAAATAATTGGACTAAAGTGTAGGAAAAAAGGTTCTGATACATTTGTTTGTTCTTTTTGTCTTATTCATACTACTTTCTCTTCTTTCTCAGGTGTTTGAAGAGAGGCGGAACCTTCTGGCAAAGTGGGTACGTATAAAGCAGCTAAGTAGAGATCCACTGAATGAGCTGATGCTTCTTCACTGTGCTGAGAGCTCAGTTAAGAAAATCTCTGAGTGTTGTAAAAAATCCCTCTTTGTGCATATTTTGTGAAACACATGTCATCAAGCACATTTCACCTGAAACAGTGAATGCAACATGATTCTGTTCTCTTTCTCTTCATGAGTTTGACAAGTGGTCTGACAGCCAAAGGAGGGCAGTGCTGCAGGACTTTGTGCTGAGCTGTTCCATACATCAGCTGAGGTTCCTGAGCCTCAGTGTGAGCAGACGGCTCCCCCTGCAGGCCGCAGACTTCACCTGCCTGCTTCCCAGAGCACTCTGCCTCTATCTCTTCTCCTTCCTGGACCCACGCAGCCTCTGTCGATGTGCTCGGGTACACACACACACACACACACACAGCGATCATGGCACATTTATATATCTGGATGCCTCCACTATCTCTGAGCCAGCTGAAGCTCCTGGCCTCTAAAACGTGCTCAGTCTTAGCGTTTATCTTTGTGTGAGCAGGTGAGCTGGCACTGGAAGAGCATCGTGGAACTGGACCAGCTATGGATGCCAAAGTGTGCGAGGCTCGGCTGGAGTATCACCTTCTTCCCCACACCATTGGAGCAGGGTGTCTGGAAGAGACACTACATCCTGTCTGTGCAGGAGCTGCGACTCACCTCGCTGCAGGTCTGAGAAGATCAGATCATCATTTTTTATGGTTTTATTTTCAAATAAGCAACAGTAAGGCGCAGCACAAACTTCTATAATGTTGCAGGATTATTTCTGCTTCCTCCTCCAGACTGGTGTGTCCCAGCAGCAGTATGTATCAGATGTCAGCAGTAGACCTGAAGCTCCGTCGGAGGTGGATTTAGTCAGTACAGAGCGTCCAGCATCGAGCACCCAGCCAATCAGAAGCATCGTCAGGAAGAAGCAGCTGACTGCACCTCCACCATGGAGAGACTCTGACCGACATCCTAAAGACACACTCCGCTTCAACTACTTAGACAACACAGAACAAGCACAAGTGTAAGATTGTAGTCAGATTCAGATTCTTTATTGTCCCACAAGAGGACATTTGTTTTGCAGCAGGAGCACACAGAAGACAAGAAACACAAGGACAACAGCACAATCTACAGTAAATAAAAGCAAAATAAAAGAATCAGACAACACAACAGAAATATAAAACAATATAAAACATTGCAATATAATCGGTCAAGAGCTCATACTAAATATGGAATCCCTACCAAGTTATTAAAGTGCAAAGTGGAGGTGTGCAAATGTGCAGTTCAAGTGCAAAAAGAGCCACCACAGGGCTAAATGTTATTTAATATATTCATTTGTAGGGAACATTAAGAGGGAGACGCCAATTAAAACCTGATCATTATAAAATCCATCCATTAGTCCATTACCCATACCACTGTTTTCAAGTGTCGCGTGGAGCTGGAGCTGATCCCAGCTGTCATTGGGCGAGAGGCGGGGTACACCCTGGACTGATCACCAGTCAGTCACAGCCATTTATAAAATACAAGGAAAAAAAACAAGTAAACCAATAACACCCTTCAAGCAAAGCAAAAACAAAAACTATTCACTGAACATTGTTTTGGTATTAATGGGACCTAATGAGGAATACTGTTGTGAAGTAAATGGTCACTTTTTGGTTGTTACATTTTCACTTACAGAACCAAATATTATGAAAGCATACAGAAAGTCTTTTGAGTCTTCACTGATTCTGGAGCCAGCAGTTTTGTACTCTGCACAAACTCTGACAGAGAGGAGAAAAAGACTCCTCTTGACACTGTTAACAGAAGAGCCTCATTTACCTGCACTCACACTACATCTGTGCTCTGTACACTATGTTATCTATGTGATGGTTATTAATTAGAAAAGGAAACTGTAAGGAGAAATCCCCAAAGTGTTGCTTTCTCATAAATGTTCCAAAGTGAGAACGAAAACGCAAATAAGTACAAGTGGAAATAACTGCAGGAAAATAATAATGATAAATGATAAATTGTAAAACCTTTAGAAAGTGTTGATCATTTTATTTCATTTTTCTCTCTGCAGGGAAATGAAAATCAGAGCCTCAACCTGCAGCACTAACATGTGGAAGCCATCCGACGGGAGCAAGACATCACTCTCTGAGGCAAACTACAAACTACGCAAAGCTAAATCGCTGGTAAACCCACGCTCCATTCATCATCAGTGGCATCATCCCACTGTGACTGTGACCTCCTTGTGTGATTCAAAGGGAGCTGGTAAACGTGGAGGATTCCCTAGAGACTGTGCAACCAGCAGGCATCATGTTTTATGGAGCAGCGTTTTCACAGAGACGCATGCTAATGACGGGCTGCTCAGAGAGGGAGCTGATGGTGGGGCGAAGCCAAATGATGTTTGAGGGAGGGGAGAGGGAAGGGTGAAATAGAGGACACTGTGTCATTTATTATTCTGTCTTTGGTGAAACCATTACCAATTCATATCGCTGTCTGGGTACAAGAACTAACCCAAAACTCAAAATATACACTTTCAATCTTGTAGTTTTCACACAATTTTTATTCTTCTATCAAATTAACCTCTGACCTTTATCTCTCTCCTCCTCCTAGATGTTTCTCAGCTCTAACTACAACTCCCAGCATCCTCCTCTTCCTCCTTATGAGACCCAATCTCGACCCTCTTTGGCAGCTAGCAGTCATGACCGCCCCATCACCAAGGAGACCACCAAGAACATGCTGCGTCTGGCCCAGTGGAATGCTGGGATACGTCCGGGGCCGGTGAGGACGGCGGTGCCCCAGCTGAGTGCGGAGGCGCTCAGGGCGTCCCAGCGATCCCACCGGAGTGCTCCCAGTAAGTGATCCCAGCTTCTGCACTCCTCTGGGCTGAATGTGATGTAACCACACAGCAAGAACTGTATCCAGGACAAACAATGAGTTTAAAATGACTGATTCAGCAAGAAAAGTTGTAGACTGTAGTTTGTGACCCTATTAGAAATGTTTTATGTCTTCTTACTGAATCCTGAATGGAGCTAAATTATTTATCCTGAACGTTTTAGAAAAGGCTAATTCATTTGAAGTTGTTTCATTTGCATTTAATTATGATGAAATATAATATGTACAGCCAAAGAAATAGGGTTGTTATAACTCTCTCCTTCTTTGGTCTTTTTATTGAATTTAAATTTAAGTGTTGAGATTGAAAAGATACGTTTGGTTTTGAGAATGATTACTTCCTTTAAATTTAAAGTTAGTAAATGTCTATGAATGTCCAGAATTACATCAAGTATTTATTAAAAACTGTTTCCTACAATAGTCCCTTTAAAAAATGATTTCTTTATTTAAGGTTAAGTGGTGCAGATGGGCTAGCGGTTAGGTCGCGCCCCATGTAAGCAGGTCATGGCCCTGGTTCAAGTCCGACCTGGGGCTCCTTTCCCGTCATTCCCCTCTCCCTTTCCCCCATTTCCTTCTCTATGTCCGATCAAATAAAGGCAAAAAGCCCCAAAATACATCTTAAAAAAATAAAAAAAGTGAAGTGATCCATGTGCTGTTGTGTGGTTGAAGGTTTTCAGTCATCCAGGTCTTGATAATTCAAGTTTCATTCAAAAGGCAACTGGACTTGAGTTTGATTTTTACCAGATCCAGTTTAATGCTTTAAAGATTCTTTTTTTTTTGGCCATTTTTGTCTTTATTGGGGAGGACAGCTGAAGAGACAGGGAGGAAATGTTGGGAGGAGAGAGTCGGGGGGATGACATGCAGCTGAGGTCAGATTCTAACCCACAGCTGCTGCGCTGTGGACCATGGGGGCACGTGAGATTATTGATGAATCTGTATTTATGATTTTTTTAATCTTTTATTTTTTATTTTTTTAATGAATTCTAGGTAAACCATTGTTTCAGACGTGGACTGCTACTCCGTCATACACACAAGGAGGTGAAGGGTGAAGGACATCAGCACCATCAGGACGACATCCGGCTTCCAGGACAAGATTCAGAGCTGCAGCTCTTGTCAGAATGTAGCGTTATATAAAGTATATTAAACATGTACTGCATAGAATCCAAGCAGAAACCTCTGTTACAAAATAAAGCCAGAAGTGCAAAAAACTGCAGTTCCTGAAGTGTCCACTTGATGCTGGCTGCAAAAATCCAAGGAATCCCCTCTAGGTCCCATGTTCAGGTCATTAACAGCAGATATTAACATGTTCACAGCCTGGTGAATAAACAACACATTTAGTATTAATAGATAATTACTTTATCAGTTCACACTGTATGGGCGTATCATTTATATTACTTATCCTTTGTTTTTCTTATATTAAACCCAAGAGTTGTGCATAATCCTGCACAATTAGAGGTGAGGATGAGTTGACTGACAGGTGGGTGCGTTGTAGCTGTTCTCCAGGAGGCTTAAGGTCATAACCCAGACCCACCTCTCAGTTCCCTTTAATTGTATCCAACATGTCCTTTCCTTGATTCTTATGGCTAGTCCACACATGGGCGGGTATTTTTTCCTCCTTCCTCTGAAAAAAGAATCCCAACCCACGCACGCCAACTTCTCAAAAACATCTTGGTCCACATGAAAAAGCAGAAACACTGTTACGGCTGCCCTGAACACACCAAGTCAACAATGATGTCCTTGACATGGGAACATTTTCCTGCCGCTCTCTTGTCGGAGTGTTGTATGAAGCAGCAGTAAACTCCGTGGTTCATTCAGGCGTCTCTGCTCGTCAACATAGTGGGAGAGTTACTGTGTGTGTATGTGTAAGCATGTAAAAAGTCCAGTTAGCAACGTTAACACCTGCACTAGTTTGATTACGTCTTCCATTGTTCTAATCTCATGTAAACAAAGTGACAGCATCACATAATGACGCCAAACGAGGGAGAAACCGGCTCATAGTGACATCACAAGCCCAAAACTCTGTTTTTCCCCGTCTACACAAAAACACCTGAAACAGAGTTTCAAGAAAATCTTCACCCAGGAAGGAGTTTTTCAAAAGGTGTGTTTTCAGTGACCTAAAACACAGTTTGTGTGTAGGAAAGGCCAAAACGCACAGAAAGAGCTACGTTTAAAAAAAAAAAACCGACATACATTTGGATTGGCCTTTGTCCCTCCCTAAAGAGATGCATGGAGAAACACAAGATGTCCTTTCTTTCTAGATTGATCAAATGTTAGGTTAATAGCCTTTTTTTTTTTTTGGCTTTTTCTGCTTTTAATGGAGAGATAGGACAGTGGATAGAGCTGGAAATCAGGGAGAGAGAGAGAGAGAGGGGATGACATGCGGGAAAGGAGCCACAGGTGGGATTCGAAACCGGGCTGCCCGCTTAGAGGACTACAGCCTCCTTACATGGGGCGCACGCTCTAACCACTGAGTCACCAGCGCCCCAATAGCCTTTTAATATGGCGACTGCCTAAGGTAAGACTTCAGGTCCTCTTCAGACACCAATAGGTGACGTCACTGAGACTACATCCAGGTTTTATACAGTCTGAATCACTGAAATTAGTTTTTGTACTTACAGTATGAATGGAGATAGAAATAGGGAAGGAAGAATAATTATTTCTTCATCTTTGGATTTGTGCTGTACACTACAAAAGCCGATGAAAGGAGAAACATCACCGATTATTTTGAGTTTCACAGTCTGTTGAATGAGCTGTAAATAGTTTGTGGTTTAATAGTTACAATAGGAAATCATCTTGGGTATTTAAAGGCAGTATTTTTCCTTAGAGGTACCCTGTGCAGCTGTTGAACACAAGAATGTTTAAAGAGTGGGTCTCATATTTTGTATATTTTCACAAGGTCCCTGCAGACGTGTGATGGAAATACCCGATCAAAAGTCAGCCAGACATAAAAAATAAACAAAACTATATTAAGATTGGAATAAAAGCTAGAACGAGGTGTACGTTATATGTTTAAAAAACACAAAGGAAACATTCTGTATAAGAAATGTACCACCTTTATTATCCAATCCACACATCCTGTTCAATTTGCAAAATGAAGCCAAAGCAATTAATATAAACACTGAGTCTCAAAAGATATCAAACTGTCAGTTTAAGACAAAAGAAACAACAACACGTTTTGTGTCAGAATTCAAAACATCTTGCATACAGCACACAGTAGTAGCATATCTATGGCAGAGGGAAGCTTCGTGTACATCAATGTCGACAGAAGATTTGTTTTAGTCTTTAAAGCCGCTTCAGTCAGATATGAAATATCAGTATCATACATACACCTCGCTCTAAGTCTCATCCAGAATAGTTTTTTTTTTTACTGGTTGCATATAAAACATTTCATTCAAAGTATGGCTCACACACATGTATATATTACTAAATACAACAGAAACACAAAAAACAACTTGAGCTTAAAGAATAGGACATACCCGACATGTTAATGTGAAATCAACAGACTGAATGTTAACGTGTTCATGAATACAGAATGTATTGTAAAAGAATAAATGAAACATACAAATATTGTCTCGACAGGTTTCACAGGTCTTTAAGGCAACAAGCCACAAACATGTCCTTGTTCTGATATCACAGCGTGACTGTGTGGAGTGGGCAGGCTGTTACTGAATATGATAGATCATAAATTAGAGAGCCCGACCGATTAATCAGCTAGCCGATAATATCAGCCGATATTAGCATATCCGGGAATTATTGGAAATGACTTATTTTATGGCAGATATGAGCTGATATTAATAGATTTATTCACCACCAAAATAGCATTTCATTTGAGCATCTTTGTATAACATTAGCAGATCTCTTTCTGGCCGTCACCAGCAGAGTGCTCTATAACAAGGAGCACTATCACTCTCCAGAGTGTCAAGCGGTGATGCATGTACATGCACAGTTAATTTCCAGTTGAGTGACCATCTTGTCTTCCTAATACATCTTTTCCACAAGTGTCGATAACTGCATTTGAGGGATCAAGCCAACAAATGTGTATATCTATATTTATCTCTCTACAGATCCATCATAGATCTAAGACAAATATCGGCCGATATATCGGTATCTGATTTTTTTCTCTCCCCAATATCGGCCCACATTTCATATCGGTCGGGCTCAATAAATGACTGCTCAGTTATTCCCCTGCAAAGAAGGTTAGCGAACAGCTTACTATAACAAAGTTTAATTTAAGAAGCGTGCAACAGTCAGGAATGATGAGATTGTCTGACCCTCTGAGCAGTTTAAGAGAAGTTAGAAGCGGCTGTTGCACAAGGATGAAAACTAACAACAGTGTAATGTTAGAAGAAGGTTCATAAATACACGATAGGTTTCCATAAATGCTCATTAATGATCATCTACAAAATGATTCAGTTCCTTCAGCAGTTCAATTTAAGGCAGATTTCAGAAGTTCAGGTTGAAGCGGGACATTTAGAGGATGTTAATGAATGAACAATATCCAAACTGTCATTTAAAAAAAGTGAAGTATCTTTTCTTATTGGTCTTAGAAAGTAAAACAAGGCAAGCTTATCCTTCTACCCGTTAGGGCATAGAGTGTTAAACAAGTTGATCTCAATGAGGACATTTTTGTTTAAAAAAAAAAAACTTGAGTAAAGAAACAAAAAACGTTTATTATTTAGGGATTTTCTGTTTAATACAAAAGCCTCAAAAAAGCCACTTAAAAACATGGCAAACATGAACCATCATTCAGAACATCGCCACACAAAAAAACATTAAATAAAACATTTGATGGGTTGATTGGATTTCATGTTGCATCATCATCACGCCGTTTCTAAAGTAAAGCTAACATCTCTTCCCCCCTGACGTGCCTTTGCTGTGTTCACAGTGGAAGTTTTTTTTTTTTTAATAGGTGCACACGGTTAAAGTTTGAAACAACAGCTGACTATAAAAAAAAGAGAAAACACTTTTAATGCTTAGAACAAAAACATACATACTGATCCATCCCTTATCTGCTCTCAATATTTAGCCCTTCACTGCAACATTGATTGATTTCATCTGCTCAACTTAAATATCAAGAAATAAACACAGGAAGAACTTCACTTTCTGAACACAAGTTGACTTCTCTTGATTTTGATATAAACAACAACGACCTGTCAGAATTTAAAGTGTTAATGTTTATAAACAGATAAACAGATTTTTATTTAAAGTTGATTTAGACCAAAAACCTGTTCATCAAACTGATTCCATTGTCAAATCAAAGATTGAAGAGATGCTTTAAGGCAATTTTTAATGCTGCCTCGTTCATTTGTTTCCAAGTGCTGCTTCCAAAGCTCTGTCATGTAAGGCTGATAGGTATCCATCGTGTGTGCTTTAACAGCTGTTAACAGTCGAGGCATTTCATGTGATGCTTTTTGCAAAGAAGAGGGTTTGCATGTTCTGCAGATTTCAAAAGCCTGGAGGGAAGGACTATGCGAATACACACGAGTATTAACACCGAGTCTTTTTAAATATTGTAAACATTTACATCTTATTTGAGGTCAGAGCATTGATCCTCTTCATATCTATTTATATATAAAAGAAACTGAAACATTACTGGAGCATCGTCCGGATGTTCTTCGGAGTCGACTCGTCGTTCAGGTGTTTCGTGGTGAATCTGAGGAGGAAAACAAACGTTGACTGTCGGAGAGGTGGGGACTTCAAACTATGACAACAAGAAGGCAGTCTGACAATCCACAGCACCGACCAACACTACAGACCGCTGTCTGTTCATTTATTCAACCTGTGCTCATGCCAAGAGATCTGACTTCAAGTCAACTAGATGTTTAAGGAAATAAAAAGTGTTTGATTATGGAAGGATCAGTGTCAGGTACCGTGGTGAAATGTTCAAGCACTAAGTGAGTAAAGCAACACGTCTTTGCTGGTTAGGATACACAAGCTCAATAGCAGCTGAAACAGGCTGAAGAAACTACAGGTCTAAAACTACAATTAGGACCAAGGCTGTCAACGTAACAGGATGGTTACATTTATCATTGACGCTTATCTTTAGTGCGTCCAGGGTAAAGATGATATACGGAGGTCAGAGGAGATGTTATACTGTGTTGGAATTAAAAACCTAAATGTTCCATCTCCTTGTTGGTCTATCCGACTCATTCAGAAACACTTTTACCAATCCTATGTTTGTACCTCATGA